AGATCTCATATGAAAGAAAAATTTCTCATTTCCAATGAGTTTTCGCTATCCAAAATTGCAGCGCCCACATAATTCTTTATATTATTGGAAACCTGCTAAATTTTCAGATAAATTGCTTTCCATTGAAAGGATTGCGATCCAATTCATTAGTATATATTATATAGTGTTTATGCTTTTTTCTATAATCATTGATATTTTTGCTATGGGGTGGGGGAGGAACGTTTGACAGCGTCCAAATGCGCAGATACGACCTCTTTTCTATTCGGGACACATGTAATTCAGCAATAGTTATTTTGGCACTATTTCCATTTATGATATTGGTAATGGCAGGCTGTATTTCAAGTAGGTGTCCTCACTATATAGATTGGCTTCAGTGAGAAAAGCTGGTTCCCATCCTAGTTAAAAAAAAAAACTAGGTAATTTCTTGTTATTCAATTTTGCGGTAACTGAGTTAACAATGTATCCGCGGTCAGTAAATGACAAACGACACAAAATCGATTATAAAACCCATTCATACTCTAATCAGCTGTCTACCTGAATGATATAAAAAAATCCACGTACGTTTGTTTGGCACGCTGTACGGCGTGCGTTACATGCTTTTGCCTTTGATTTTATCAGATTTTCCTGAACTCGTGACGGCTAGAAGCCTTCGAACAGATGTGAAGTAGTCAAACGAGATGGGTTGACTGAAGGCGTGAGTATGCGAGTTTGACTTCAGACAAATTTAAGCTTATTCTTATTCTATCGTAGATTTCCTCTGGTTTGATTAATAGATATACTTGCCAAACTAGTGACACTGTCGAATACTGAGGATTTATTTATTAGGTGTCTCCCGTCATGTGAGGATCTGAAATGAGTCTGGATAATTCAGGTGAAGATTTGTGAACAGAGTTCGGCAAGGTTTACAGTGAGTGGAATTAGAGGACTACCATGTGCGTTTCTAACGTACAATGAAATTTCCAATATGTGAAAATGGATTTAACACGTTTGTTGTCTTTTTTTAGGGCTCATGCGTTGCGGCATGATAGAGCTATCTTAGCGGAGAGGCATTAAAATGTAGGCAAATTGATCGGGTATAGCTCTTCGAACTCAACCAGCATACTCATGACAAATGTCTAACGTGTATATGCCGAGTACAGAGTTGTAAGTTCCAGCAATCAACCCGGTCCTAAGAGGACATCAATGCAGTACTCATGCGCAAAGGTTCCCATGCATAACAACACGCTCAGCTTCCTTCAGATCAGAGTAATATTCTATACAGAGATATTGTACGTTGAAATTTTTTCCGCTGGCTGACGCGTTCTGCAATCGAATTCGACATATATTCCTTACGACAAATCATCTTATCATAGACGTGTACCTATCACAAGATAACACCTAACTGAGCCACGATCATTTCGGAGAGGCTGCTCTGCTTAACCTAAGGAACAGAATTACAAATTAGCCCAGCCTCAGGCCGTCCCAAAGAGACAGCACAGACGACAAGAAAAACGGCAATAAGGACTTTTGTCGCCTTGATTATTGGTTGAATCACCTAAAACAACACAATGAACATGAATCCCTCGACTCGCTAACTTCTCGACGGCCGTCTTGCCGAAGGCCAACGAACCGTGCGGGCAGTTACGAGTAGGCAAACCCTTAAAAGTCGTACATTTCTTCCTTCGGTGAGGGTAGGCAGAGCCTGAATCGTCCGTTAAATCTAATGATACGACAGTGACAGCGAAATGTGAACGCGTCTATTCCTAATCTCGAATCCTATAATCATACGGCGATAGTAATTGCCAATATTATTACTAGTGCCGATTATCGGTCATACCGTTGTAACAACTCAAATGATGGTTCCTATTGGCACTAAATGTACGTAGCAAGAGAACACTCGGCGTACCGGACGGCATTTGCCAAATTTTGTGGCGCATCGGTCCGTGTTGTATGAAACGCCCATAAGAGGGAGCGTAGGTTGATCAGAAACGAGGGGAGCAATGGCGGATGGACGGTGAACAAAAGCTCGGTGGTAAAATTCAATTCTTCTCCGTATGAACAGGTGTCTATGGTAATTTGTATACATTCTTAAGAATAGGTCTTCTTAACCAACTGGAGATACTTTGTCGATATTAATATCGAATGGCTGGTCGCCAAATGAGGCTAATGGCTTAGGGAAGAGCAGTGTCGAGATTGACCTATATGCTATCCGAAAAGCAAACCGGCTTAGCTCTGATTCTGAGTATATTACCACCAATAACCCGATTTGGAGACTTGTGTTTTTTTCACAGGTTAACTATTCTCCAGCTAAATACGATGTAAAGTAGAATACAGGAGCCTGTTAGTAATAACCAATGAAAAAAGCTGTCCTTCCTATGTAGATATAATTACAACATAATCCACCATTGCATCGAAAGTCGTTCTCCGTAGGACTGACAATAGACAAAGGCTCAATGAATGATAACCCATCAGACGAACGATTTCGAATCCGTCTTAATTTGCCCACTTTGTCAGCCTCGAAGCGGATTGAATGCATATTTTATTTTATGACTCTCGTTCTCTCTCTGCGCTTGCTCTTTTTTGCCCCATCCTCCCCTGTTCGTATGCGCGTTCGTTACGAGCGGCGACACCGGTGGCCTCGTCGGTCGAACCGATGGAGGCGGTCGCATCGCCGCCGTCGGCTGGTTTGTGCCGCAACGCGCGAAATGCACGTCTTGACGGGTCGCTCTTTGTTCGGCCGTATCGTATCGGAACGGATCACATGTGTGTTCTTGTTGTACATCTGTTTTTATCAGCTTGATGCCATTTCGATTTGGACTTCGCGCGTGTTTCCGCTTATCTTTGCCGTTGCTGAGGCGGTGGCGGTGGCGTTGCTGTCGTTGATGATGATGTCGATGCGACTGTTTCGAATAGCTGTAAAGCAAGAAGCTGCAAAATACGGTGCTCTGCGGCGGCGGCGGCGGCAGTGACGATTTCTTTCAGACGCCAATAGGCAGCAGAAAGAACAACGAAGCGATTACGATCAAGAAAACGAACACGAAAAGCATTGGAGACGCCAGTGCTAGCGCGTTTCGTTGATTTCGCAGGGTAGAATTATACTAAATTATGATAGTGATTTTTTGTAGCATTTATTTTTGCTGCGAGTACGATTATTAACTGGTGCCGTCGTCACTGCCGTTGTCGTTGATAGCACTGCTGTGTTTCACAAGGAATGAGGGAGGGGGTGGACGGGCGATCAGATGATAGCGCGAGGGGCAAAAGCGAGATGGAGCTGACACAAAATGAAAGGAAAAGATTTTGGGCGATTTTGCGATTTTCATTGCCCCCTTTAGTGATTCCTGCTCAGCCCCTCCCTAGCAAACAGCGGTAAACGATATAAAAAAAAATGTAACGATAATTGGGTAGCTCTGTCCTATTATTACTTCTGTCGTATTGTAGATGTCGTAATGGCTATTTCGGACGAACGGCCTAAAGGGTATCACGTACTTCGGGTTCGTCTCGGTAGACGTGAAGAGCCCAGTCGGCACTAAATGCAAACATTATTGGTGGATCTGAGGCAGAAATATTTCAGGCACCTCTGTCCGCTCGCAAGGTGGCGGCGGGGTCCCTTTAGTTCGACTGTGGAAAATGATCATATCGTGCATTCTCTGCGAATAGTATCGTCTGCAAAACCTAGTATTGCGCACCTCTGCGTAGGTATATACTTGTGGCAGCATTAAAAGTTCTATAGCTATAAAACAACAAGGGTATTTCTTCTCGTTGTTGCAGGCCAAACCGTTGCCAACGAAAGAACAGCTTAGGCAATGCGTCGTAGCCCATAATGTCAATCCATCGGTCGTCACAGCCTGTAACTCGCATAACATTACTTTTATCAAATCAAGCTAGGCTGTACGGTGCATTGGTGAGTTAACAAAGTAACATCCAAGCTATTATATGCACATATACAACTATCGGTGTAACGAAGAACTAAATACTCTAGCTCAAGTCACCGCTATCGTAATAGTTACACATCGGAAAGGAAAAAGCTCGTATGTGATTACTTGTTTTTTTTTTTCTCTTATTTTTGAGCCTCTTATTGAACTACCACTATTTCCTATTTTTTTTTTGAGCTTCGCTGTTTGCATCACTTCTCAGTCGTCCGAGGGGACGCCACGCTCAGTTACAGCCAAAAAACTCTCAGACAAGCAAACACAGCGACACTTAGTCACTCAGAGATCTGATGCGATTCACGATCTGACAAATTCACTAACGATGCTGTGATGAGTACTGAATACGTACTCCAACAGGTCAACGAGGCCGGCTAGAACCATATCGTATAGATAGATCTCACCGACGAACTAACTGAGAATGGAGAGGGTAACATTGCGCGACGCGCGGCTCCTTCAGGACAATTTGCCGGCCCTACAGAGGTGAATCAAGGATAGTAAATATATGATTGCCCCTTTTCTATGATGGGGCACTATTATGGATACATTTTATAAAGTGCGCGATGTGTATGTCACGCTAATTGCCACCCGTAAATTGGCCGAGCTTTTTCCTAGGTTGGTCTACACCGTATTAGGTGTGCAGACCCATAATGCACCATGTATCTTACTGCTTTATTTGTTTGGGTTTGAGTTGTCGTCAAGTAAGCTGCTGGCACGTTACCATTCGTACTGCGCCAGCAGGTGCACAGGGATACTACGCGAATTTTCCACTGCCTACCAGCTCTTCGTATCGTTCCCCTTTTATTGCTCCTCCTGCTTTTTGCTCTCGGGCCATTTTCTGATGATCATGTTGTTTGTTTTTCTGTTACAGCCGTTACGCCAAGAAAAAAAAAACCGGAATATCGATACAAGCTCGCAAACGAACTGTTGGATCTATTTCTGTGCGAGTATCCACCATTTTCGCAGATGATACTGCGTTTTACGTACCGGTTTTCGCTCTTTTATTGAGATAAACATTTGCAGTAAGTTGGTATTGCGAACAGTTAAAAAAGTTACCTTACAAAGGATATTTTCGTGTGTGACTTACTATATGTTATTCAGCCCAAACATTTGAATCGTTGCTTAGAACGACATCAAACACACCATGTTGCTGCTGGTACTACAATTGTGGCTTTAGTTAGAGGCACGACTCGGGCATTTGAGGTAGTGTCTAAACGCACCTCGTGCAGCCATTTAGCGGACTTGGTTGACTTGAAGTATTCAAAGGTCTGCGATAACGAACGTCGGCCTAGCTACGATCTATGATAATATGTAAATGAATCGCCGTAAGCTCGTTGTTATCAATACTTCTATTGTTATCGCCGCTATTAATAGCCGAATCAGCGAACATTTAGTGAATCTAGAACGGATACGTAAGGCTCCGTATTCGTTTTTAACGAAACTCATCTACCACGACGGAATCCCTAAGCTCAGGTTTTATTCCGTGTCCATCTAGCCCAAACGGCTGAGCCGTCAATAGTTTTTCAGCAGTGCGGTTGGCGGATGCATTAGTTAATACGTTAAGTTGTTATTATCAGTGTTCCGTAGGCTTCTCTAAAGCCACCAACGCCTATGCCCCAATGTCGTATTCAGTAACGTTCAAGGAGTCTGCTCTACCCCTTCCAGCAAAAGTTCGCTTGCTCGGAGCGACATCAACAGAATCCATATCTTCTGCTTTGCGTGAAACCACACCATCACCATTATTATCATCGTCGTCGTCGTCGCCGCCATCATCCTGGGCAATCCAGTCAGGTTCTTCTGAAAGCATTAGAAGGTACTACTGCACTACGTTCGTTTGATGTTCTTAAAGAGGCCTGATTTAGCCTGAGCAATGTGATAGAAGCTGGAGCATTCTATTAGATGAACGTCTACGTGGAAAACAGGAGCTATTTAAGGTCGTTGCTCATTTTCTATACTCAAAAAACGAATGTTTATTCTAGTGAGCAAAAATTTACAATCCATCCGTCCGATCGTAGGAGATCGCTGATCTGTAGCGGAGGAAGTAGTCCAACCGCAAATGACGAAGCTGGACCAACAGGCAAAACATCCCCTATAGTGAAACGGAATTGGCGCTCGTACGAGACCGAACTCGAGGTGGCAGCTTTTGTGCTGGCAGACGCGGCCAACGACCCGGTGCTCGTAATGATGCTTGTCATCATTCTGATCACGCTCGTTTTCCTCGTGACCCTAGCTATTCGAACACGGATGTACACAGACAGGTTGGAGGCAGTATATATGAAACTTCCACCGAACCCCCATGAGACAACCGTGCTGTCCTTTAAGAAGTTCCATTAGATCTTGACCAGTCGTGTTCCGTTGACTATTGGTGGAAAACTTCGGTATCTTTTAACATTTACTGTTAATGCATCTACTAAATTAGTCTGGCTGGCAGCAGAGGCTATGATATTTTGATCTGGTAGTTAGTTACCTGTAGCTCGAGTAATTCGCTAGCGTTTGTCAAATACCTATATGATCCATAACGAAACACGAGCTAAGTGCCTATTTTGGAGGTTGCGCAAGGGCCATATTACTATACGTAACACACGTTGGTACCCCCCCCCCCCTTTGTTATGTTCCTCAAAGCTTAAGCGGCTCCAATGGTGGTGCTTGTGGATAGGCTGTAAGATTTCCTCATTTGAATGTGTAATAGCGTCACCTGCTAAAGTTAAATCATAACTGTAATTGTTGATTGGAGGTTACTAACTTTCCCCGTAACAAACACTTCTTCCGTTCTTGTCTAGCCACCGAGTGCGTTCTGGATGCAATAACAGTAGATATATGTACATAATTAATATAACAAAACATGGTAGACCGTAAACTGAACAGATTGGGGTGTCTGTAGTATTCGAACGAGAATCTGCTTTGTTACCATTGAGCCTTAGTGCAGCAGGTGCAAAGGTACGTTACCTTTGGCATTTGTACAATAGATACAAGTATTCTATGGAATGGGTCATATGATATTCAATTAAGCATTACCTGTTCAGATTCCCTGTGCTTTTATAATTAGCTACACAATGACCAGCTAAAAGTGCGACTGTTGCGTCTTCTTAAGCAAGACGTGCAAGCTTCTTGAAGTCGAACAGCAGAGAAGCTGGTAAGCGGATATTCTCCTTACAGTTGATTCCGAAGTAAAGCTCCGATCCCCTTGTGGAACCGGTCCACTTTATTGAACACTTAATTGAAGCACTTCGTACTTTGTTATCAAAAGCTAGCCCCTACAGTTACCTTGTGGTCTCTTGACGGGCAGGATCTTGAGTGGGGAGAAGTTTTACCCGGTCCGCTACCCACAAATAAATAAACGCGCCACAGAAACATCTTGAATCGACCGAACTGTAACGAATAACTACAACGCGCGAAATTATCCGAAAGAAACAACTAAGTCAAAATGAAGCTCAAGGATAACCAATTGAAAACAGCTCCGTCGTCCGCTGCTAAAATGATACAGTTAGGGTTTAAGTCATAACAGTCGTTAATAGGTAGTTCCACAGGATTGTCTAGGTGCCTGGATCGTCCCATCCGGCGCCGAACGCCCACCCGCCCCTCGTCAGCTTTTGATGCCACATTCAATCTCAGCTGCCATTCGGTGTACTTGTGTGAGTGTTTCAATAATGACTACTGCTTGTATTTCCACGTTATATCATGTAATTCTACAAGTAAGATCTGCTGTTGCTGCTGCTGCTGCGGCTGCGGGTTGCTAGTGCATTACCTGCGGGCATTTGGGGAGTGTTGCATCTCCTTGACACAACGCCCGCTCTGTGCGGAACACCAATAGGAACTGAGGAACATCGGCAGGCAGAATGAGGACATCACCGCGATAGAGTCGAAATTGAAATTGAAACGGTGACGTCCGAAGCAAAAGCATCTGAAGAGTAAGCATACATGAAGGATAATTTAGCGGCTAGTTCTCAGCTTAGATCAGACAACGGCAAGAGGAAAGATGGTTTACATTTAAAGAAAAATGTTCGCAAATCGTAGTGTCGCGGTGCATTTAGCAAGCGGTAAACAAAGGCAATGGGTAATGGAAGCCAGGGTACGACTGGACTTGTACATTTATTATGTTTATTAAGGGATGGATCACTTTTACTTGTGTTTGTAAGTATTTGTTTTTCAAACGAAGTAACACAACTAGATCGAGTTAGCGTTGATATAAACGTATCAAAATATATACTTGTCTACACAAAGACTTGAATGAGCTCGGTGAATGAAGATGGCTGTGTTATGCTTCGAGCTTAATAGTCGGAGACACGATCAGGCGGTATCCACTGCATTGTGAAAGTTTTCCACTGGAAATGTATACGTCTTCAGGTGAACAGTATAATTACTGTGGCCTATGCGTTCAGAGAGCTCTGCCTCATGGCAGATCCGAGATTGTGATGTCCATCTAACTCCCCCGATCTGTCCCCAATGATTTGAACTAACAAATGCAATCAAAATAAATCAAGCATATTTTCGAGCACGAACCACTTCGTGTTAAAAGCTGTTTTCGTAGACTGGTCCCATTTTAATACTCGAATTACTTTCTTTGATGGTGATGCGGCCTTTTTTTTACTAATTAATTTTTTTCTAATCGCGTTCAGCTCAGCACCGTCAGTTGCCCAACAAGCACTTGCCAGGATCTTCTAGCGGACCCGGACAAGCCTGGACGAATGACTCAGATTTCAAGTTTTCTACAATGAATCAATGGTCCATATGACCCACTACACCATACATTGGCGAGCTATGCTACTCGTACTTCAATCATTTTCGTTTCGGAACTGCTTTCTAAGTATCGGAATCGCCTATCTTCAGGCAAATGTTGCCATTTTGATCGTTACCATTATCGTCATCACCGGCACCACTTTTTTTTCTAATAAATCACCCTCCAGCATAGCCAACGATGATATGTGACTTTCGTACTCGGCTTTCAGCGCGCTCTTACGCTGACGGCTACCTCTAGTTGTTCAATCCTCGCAATTGCACTAAGCGGATCGTCTTATCTTACGTGCAAGTCTAAAGCAAGACTGACTGCATCTTCCAGTAGCAGCAACAGTGGCGGCGGCGGCGGCGGCGATTTTCATCGCGTGCGCGTTTCGTCTGCTGGTTCATATTCAAATAGGGGTCATTCGATGCCGTCCTTCTCTCCGCTGTGCCACTTTGCCCCCTTCCCCCTTCCTTTCGCTCTAGCGGCCCGTGAAATTCTGCTTCAGAAGGAGGTTAAAGCCGCAGGCAAAGCGAACCGCTTCTCGAGAGCCACTGACTACTGATTGCTATACCCGTAGGCTGACCGATGTACACTGGTGGATCGGTGCGCGATCTACGGCTAGTCGCTATGCCCAAGATATTTAGGGGCAGACCACCCCCGCCGTTGCTACTCTCGATAGGCGGCAGCAGCAGTGGCATCATCGTCATCGTCTTCCTGCGCTGCGCGTAGTGCCGCCCAATTCTCCACGTTGACCGGCAAACTGACAGACGCGCGACTGGTGTGTGTATATGTATGTGTGTGTATATGTATGTGTATGAATATGTATGTGTATGAAGATGTATGTGTATGAACGAGAAGCACGACAAGCGAATGACACTTGTTCATTCGAGTCGATCTTTGAGATGGCTTTGGACTGGCGGTTTTCGAGGGGAGGCTTAGCGTCCAATGCTTATTTACGACCTATACACAATTAGGGATCATCAGTGGTGGGATGGGTGATGGCTACAGCTGGTGGGGGTAGTCGGGTAGAAAATCGTAGGGAACGAGACATGACAGGCATAAAACAATTAATAAATATCGAATTTTGATACCGGCCCGTAGTCATCGAGGGTAATAGAGAAGAGGCGAAAGAAGATAAATTGGATAGAAGTGGTGGACAAAGTGATCCTTGGATACGATCTGTGCGCAAACGCACTTTTAAAGAGTGGCAGACCCATAGAAGTAAAGCTGACTTAGCTGGCGGCCGAGAATAACTAAGCGAATATATTATCTCGGTTATACGGCGATATTAACTAAGTACGACAAACGTTTTACGATTCCGGTTTACGGTACGGTTAACATTTTATATCCAGTACTGCTCCATCTGACTGTTTTAGACAAGTAGGTAGAAACGATAGCTACTAATCATACTGGGTCCATCTCCTTGAAGCTGGGAAATCATCAGCTCCGGTCTCCATCTGTAGAACAAGAAGCGAACATGTAAGATATTCAGGGTTATGAAATGTTCTCTGGTAAAATATTGTAATTGTTTCGTGTTTTACGTGGAAGGACTTCAGGATATAAAGCAGTGTGCGTTAGACGTAAAAGCTTTCCAATTTCTATACAGACAAGCAATAAATCTAGATCGTGTTTAGCTGGTGTGCTGAACTTATGACAGGTTTCCTATTTTTGAAAGCAAAATTAAACGGCAGGAAGCAACGAGAAACGCTGACAAAACTCTTGTCTTATACTGTACCTCCATACGCGTATATCCCCCTACTAGAGGAGACTTCTCCCAGGCAACGGGGGTAGGTAGAAAAAGCTTGCGAGACTGTTATGATAAATGGGCATTCGGTTTCACCGGAATAGAATACAGCGATAGCTCAGATATAGAGGATCGTTTTGACAAGCGGGGAACGCTCGAGTTTAGGAATAAATCGAAAAAGTTGTTAGAGCACGACCGATGCGATAGCTGCCTGCGGTTATTGCAGGAGACCGTCTGTACGTGTGATGGTTCTGCAGGGAAGAAACCTGATGAGTGAAAAGAAAAAACAGAAAACCCCCACACGAAAATGAAAACGGAAGACACATATGGAAATACACGGGAAGGGTAACACACGAACCGAGCCAGCCATTATGACGACGGTTGTACGAAGAAACTTTTGACGGGCAGTACAGACTTTCGAATTTTTCGCCACGTCCGGTCTTAAAATAGGCTAAACATGTTCTTCCCTCAAAGCTAGAACATGCTTTCTGCATGAGATAGTTGCATAAACATAAGTACAAATGAATTGAGGCATTCGAAGCATTTACGGAGTCGTAAACTTTCATTGGAAGGCATCAACTGACGGACCCTTTGAAGTCCTACAATAAAAAGGAGCATTCGATATAATCTTTTCAAAGTGTTTAATATTTTTCGGAAGCTTTAATTACGAATCTGTCTCGTAATCCTAATTATTCATGGCGCATTTTGTGACAATTGTAAATGATCAATGTATCCGAAGCTGAAAGCTTTTCATCAGCTATTGTACAATGTGTTCGTGTTAAGTTCGCTGACCCCATGTAGCAAGAACTCTCTGCTCGTCTGCTTTTACCTATGTCGCCTATGTTTCGAGATTTACGTCCGGTATCGCCGCTGGGCATTTCTTCAGACGGCTGGCTTTCAGGCATTTGCCTATGATCAAGCAACTCGTGTCGCTCGAACACAGATGCAGCGACAGCCGCTCAGTGAGCCCTATCAGCCAAACGAATATCATGCGAAGGACGAGGTGAGAGCAGGCAAGGCCGACTGACAGCGTACTATTTCGCACCTAAAGGTAGACAAAGTTTCACTGCATGTCTATCTATGCAAGGTTTTCACTGAAAGGCTTCTATGCACCTCTTCCCTGGTATTGTACGTTCTAGTGAATTAAAAGTGACCTGTCGGCGGGGCTCGACCAGCCTTGTCGACTGACGCCGCCCTAGATGGATCGATTGGCCCGGCGGATGGCTACTACTATCATTATCGCTATTGTTGCTAGTGATTATGAGCTGTCTAATTTCTCTAAAAAAAAAAAAAGAAGAAAAAAATAAATAAAAATACACACCAGCCCTTCAGCGACTGGCAGCTTAAGTAAGTCGAACGGCCCGACAGGAAACGGCCGATGGGTGGATGGTGACGATGACGACTGTGGCGGCAGCGATTTCAACGTACCGACGAGCGCTCCTCAAAAAAATCTCTAAATTACATTGTGTCTGTCTATCTTCTGCATACATATACATTTGTGTGCAAGTATATGCCAGAATGAATGTGCTGGAAAGTAATCGCGCCACGAAAAATTGCCGGCACCGATGTCGCGGGACCAGTCGCGAAGATCGAGGTGAAGACCGAACGGCTGAAGAGGCAATCACGACGATCCATCTTCTGTAATGGATCACCTAGGGCGCCGCCGCCGGTTTCGCCCCTCCATACCAGAACGCTTCGCATCGGTCTGGCACGACAGTGCCGCGAATCTGAACATGACGCTCTCATTCAAAAAGAAAGTTGGCCGAATCAGAGTGGATGAACGTTGTCCAATCATACTATTCGAAAGGAACAGACAAAATATAAATGCTATGAACAGCAAAGTCACTGCCGTGCTAGTCATAGTTGAGTACGTGTCGGCGGATGCTTAAGTTTGCGAGCTTTCGGAACTGAATGGTCTCCCTCTAGATTTAAAAGGTAACGCAATAGCTCTTACTGCAGATTCGTAATATTTTCATCGACTGGCATCACTTACGGTTTTACCAGCTCGAAGCTACTCCTTCGAAGATCAGGTTAAAATTGGTACGTTTCTCGTTTTGCCCTACTATTATGTGTAACAACGTCGAGCCTTACCAGACGATGATTTCTGTCGAGCGGGCACGCTCTAATGACAGTCTAAACGATCGGCCGTGTGTCGCCACCCCACCGATACCCACGATCTCTGCTACGAAACGGTTCGTGGGTGAGATTACGCGACGCTCGCTAGCCAAGACAACTTTCCCAAAGGGGCTAGGAAGACTTCGAATTCGACGCCAAAACAGCGGCGGACCAGGCGCGCAAGTTAGAGAGAAGGAAAAAGGTTCCAAAAATACACAGTTGTAACTTAGCGACAAGAGCACATACACAGTAGCGGTCTCTGCCGCGTTGCCTGAGTGTGTATGTACGCGCCCATGAAAACATTTCGCATGACTGAAACGATCATGTAGATCATGCAATAGAGCAGCCAGGAGGCGTTACGATGACGCGGCAGCGGTTAACAAAAATTTAAAAAATTGCTAAAAATGATGATGAAACAAAGCTATATAAAGAGCGCAAACCACATAATAATGGAAGCGGTAATGTATCACTGGGAACAACAGGCAAGAAATTGACGACTAAACACGAACGAGCCGAAAAGGAACGAAGTCAACAGAAGGGCTAAAGAACGGAAACTTCGGACCGCTGCGGGTTCTGTGCGATGAGTACAACCGGCGACTACCAAATGGGTGCAATTGTATAGAGGAATCGTATGATATGAGATGCTCATATATGGACGGCAGTAGCCATCGGCAAGCACACATATTCTATATGTGTGCCGTGCTAATTGCGAACACGGAAGCATATCGAAACATTTACTTTTTTTAATTCGATGACCATAGCCAATATATGTTTTTCTATTAGACAGGTAAACCGTATGTGATCAATGGTGTTTATGCTGACACTCCAGCTAGTAACTCCGGCGACTATATTAGTCAAAGTATTTATTTGGCCATATAAAAAAAAAGGCTTGACTACAAATATTAGACAGTCTAGTTACATAATATGGTGTACGGATTTCACTAAGTTTCCAGTGAACGGATGCTGGCAAAAGCCAGCGGAGCCTCCCTAATCTATGGCTTACCGATAGGAGTGTACACGTAGTGCAAAGACGAGTAAACGCTAGATGAATGCACCAATATTCCACAGGGCATAATCTCTATCAGATCGAAATTCTACCTACTGAAGCCAATGTAACTATTTAATGTATTCGCACATTGAAATGCTGTGTTTTGTCCTGAAGTCGAAAACAAAGCCTCCCAAAATATGGCATTCGGCCTGAATTGTACTTCAGCCGCTCAAGAAACGCTTTGCTCACGTGTTCTGAAGTTCTGATGGAAGAGTGACCGATGACGACTACCGCTAACTGAAGCTGTCAAAAATAATCTAAGTTACTTGGCGCTAGCCGGGAGGTCAAGTGCGTCGTACGCTAGGTGTAGACCTGCGGACAAAATGAGAAGTCAACGACCTGGTAGGCTTGCTATGGACCCTTACCCATGATAGTACGTCATATGAAAATCGATATTGAAACTCATCGCACTTATAATACACGCTAAACAGCTCTGTCCTAACGACGGTTATCTGGCTGTAGTTTTTTTTTCGAAGGTACAACTTTATCTGTAAGAATGTTTATGAACACAGTAGACGATCTCGACGTTTATCAAATAAATTCACACCCTATCTTAGACCAGACTGTCCCTACAACAACAACAACACGGCCCAACTTATTGAACTAATGTGTTTCATTATAAAGATTCACATGTACAATAAGTGACACGTTTTTACGTACAATTAAATCTAAATCAATACGAGATTTTACATTAAGTATCGGCTGACCCATGTGCATTTGGGGGAATTGCTTTCCTTACTTTCGAATGTCATGTTTCCTTCTTCTTTGTGAAATCCCTCAGCTCGCTGGTTTTCTATCCGGTTCGAAAGAAGCGACCAAATGGCCAACAATTACAATTCGGTTATTACTGCCGTTGTATGGTTTCAAGTACCGAAGACACGAACGATCGTAACACGAGCTCTGCCATATCGGCACTCTCTATCAGTCGGCGCGCAATGGGAATTCTGTCTTCAGTTTGATTTTTTCTCGTGCCTCGCAGAACGACTACATACATAGATATGTGTATCTGTATGCATGTGTATGTAATTAGGCCGCTGAAAGGCAGTTGTTTCCTACTCGAAGTGCGTCTGCTCCTTCGGGAGCCTCGTCATTGGTGTCGTTGTCATCATGGTCATTATGAATTGAAAATTACGGCCTGGTCATTGCCGTTACTGCTGATGAGGTTCTATAGATCTCGAATCCGTTTTTCGGTACAGGTTTCATCGTCGCTCCATAGATACGATTCACTGCATAATTGCATAAAGTCATATCATTGGGCTTTGGCACCATCGGACCCCTACCTATATAGAGAATTGACTCAGCGGCAAATCTATACGTGCAAATTATTCAACCTCTAACGTTTGCGCCAAGGCACCATTAGTGGATATTATCGGTAAGATAAATGCGGCAAGCATCAATCCCAATAGAAAAGCAATACAAAAAAAATGTTTTCAAATCCTTTTTTAAAAGGCAAAAACAGATCCTTCGGGTGCCCCTTTGCTTTCAGCGCCCGGTATGTCCTTGGGTGTGATGAATTT